AGCATCCCCCATCCCTGGAGACATCCCCCATCCCCTGGGACATCCCCTAACCCTGGGGACATCCCCACATCTCCTGGGGACATCCCCCAACCCTGGGGACATCCCCACATCTCCTGGGGACATCCCCTAACCCTGGGGACATCCCCTAACCCTGGGGACATCCCCTAACCCTGGGGACATCCCCACACCATGGGCTGGTGCTCACCAGGGCTGCTCTTCTCACTGCCTGCCGAGCCAAACTCCGCTGATTGCAGCTGCAAGGGGACAGGGGACAGCATGAGAGCTGTGCCACCCCCAGACCCCATTCCGAGGCCGTGTGCCCCCTGCACACTCACCCGGGTGAGGGTGCTCCTGCCAGAGGCGGGCAGCGAGGAGCTCTTGTAGCTCCCCATGTGCAGAGCTGCAAGAGAGCAGGAGCTGGTGAGAGGTGCAGGCAGCCAGAGCCACAGGGTGAGGAAGGGAAGGGATACGGGAAGAGCATCCCACGTACATGTGTGGAAGGGTGTCCGGTCCGGCAGCGAGCGGGTTTTTCTCCGGATGGGGAGAGATTTCTCCATCTCCTCCTTCAGGATCAGCTTCCCGAGGTTGGAGGTGACCTGAGAGCGAAGGGACATGGGTGAGGGGCAGTGTCAGCACATCCCCAGCCCCTCGCAGGGTGCTCGCCCACCCACTCTGCCCTTCACCTTGCTCAGCTCCTGCCTCTGGAGCTCCCGCAGGTTCTTCATCTCCTCTGTCAGGTCCTCCTCCTCCTCCTCCCCTCTCTTGGAGGCCATCCGCCTCCTCCACTCCGTCTCTAGGGGGAAAGAGGAGATGTTATATCCATCCCCAGTATCCCAATGGGGTCTCTGGATGGGGACAAGCCCCCTGATGAAGCCCATCCCCTCGCCTGCCCCAGTTCCCCACCTACCCATGACGGCCAGGGATGGGGGGCACGGCCAGTAGTCGGTCTCAATCTTGGCGGGCTGGTTGGGGTCTGGGGGCTGCGCTGCCGGGAACTTGGAGGATTCGATGATCAAGTCCTCTATGAGATGCTTCCCATGGTGGGCACCGGGATGGTGGTCTGCGGGGCACAGGGGGGTGAGGCAGCGCCCTGGGGTGCCCCCTCCCATGGGACAGACACTCCCACTCACCTTTCTGCCTATAAATTGGAGGCTTCTTGTATATGTTGAGCTCCGTTGTGTCAGTCTCTGCAAGGAAAAAGGGAGTTGTAGGCTGGGAAGAGGGAGCTCAGAGCTCTGGAAAGGTGCTTGCCTGGACCCCCTGCCCGGACCCCCCCAGGCTGCTCTGGGGCTCAGGGTCAGGCAGCACCCAGGGGAATCATGGTGCCAGGGGAACGTACCGGGTCGGTGGAAGTGCTGCACGCTGCTGCGGGCCGAGCTGCCGCCCTGGCGAGAGGTGGGCTGCGGGGTGCTGCCAGCGGTCCGGTTCTCCAGCCACTCCCGGATGACCTGTGGGCAAGTGGGGCTGGTGAGCAGCGAGACCCCGGCAATTCGGCATCGCCCCCTCCTCCTCGGAGCCCCCGCGTGCATCCTAGAGCCGGGCCAAGCCGTATCGGTACTCACCTCCGGAGATGGAGGAGGAGAGATGGATTTGGGAGACAGGGAACGCTGCAGAAGGCAAGAAGCAGTTTATTCCAGCAGCCTCACATC